ACACCAGCCATGTTTGACCACATTTGGACCGCAGTATGGTCGGAGTAAGGCAATGATGTTGACTGGCAGAATGCAGAAGGCGCTGAAGACCCAAGCTCCTGCAATGAGGAGCAGCTGGACATGTCTGGTCATGATGGCGAGATGGACACCACAGTCAGGTGGGCAGCACACGTCCTGAAGGCCTTCAGCCTCTGACCAGCACCCATCCTTGATAGTGAAATGCCAATCAGGACATAGGAGGTCAGGATGAGGACTCCTGGGATCAGTAAAGACAATGCGGCAAAGAAAAGGGAAACAATGTTATCCACTGAGGTGTCAGCACAGGCCAGTCGCCTTACAGATGAGAAGTCACACCAGCCATGTTTGACCACATTCGGACCGCAGTAAGGTCGGAGTAAGGCAATGGTGGTCACCGGCAATGGGCAGAAGGTGCTGAAGCCCCAGGCTCCTGCTATAAGGAGCGTCTGGACACGTCGGGTCATGATGGAGGTGTAGTGCAGAGGGTGGCAGATGGCCACATAACGGTCGTATGCCATGACAGTCAGGATGGCATGACCGGTACAGTTTAGCTGCATGAAAAAATGCATCTGGAGGAAGCAGCCTGGGACTGAGATGATTGACACATCTGACAGGAAGCCAGCCAGCATTTTGGGGATGGTGGTGGTGGTGTAGACTATGTCCACAAAGGAGAGGTGGCAGAGGAAGAAATACATGGGAGAGTGGAGCTTTGGATCAGTCAGTGTCTGATGAGGAAAACGTGGAAATAATAACTAACAATTTGATCTTACTCAGGCTGAGACAATACAGAACAAATTCAGAGACACAGCTTTGTTTTGTACCACAAAGATGATCATGCTGTTTCCTCCCAGGATGATGACGTAACCCAGCAGCAGGATGACAAACGGGATCATCGGTCTGTCACCGAGGCTGGAGAGGCCCTGGAGGATGAAGAAGGAGACACTGTCAGGATCACTGGTTCCGTTAACAGAGCTGGATCTGTGACTGGTCAACATGGACGGGTCTGAATCTGGAGACACAAGTAGAGAGGTGTCAGTGTTGAGTCACAGTAAGGATATCAGGAGGCCGAGTGCACTTCCAGGCTTATGGTCCATGTTCAACAGGTCGATTTCATACTGCCTGACATAGTCTTGTGTCTTCTTTTGCTGCAGTTATTAGTTGATAATTAGAAATTATATCAATATTTGGTAACATTAATAATTTCAATCATATCCTAAGCAAACAATGTGAGAAATAGCAACCTCTGTCTGACTTCAGCTTCTAAAAATGTGATGATTTTCCAGGTTTCTCTGTTTTATATGATATTAAACAAAAGATCTTTTGGTTTTGGACTCTTGGTCAAATGAAACAAGACATTTTAAGACATCTCCATTGGGCTGGGGACAGTTATAACATTTTTTTTTGTTGTTGTTGTTTTTACTAGCCATGTTTTTTTGTAATACAATTTCTTCACTAACACACACGAT